AATATATTTAAATATATTCACAAATTATCCATTTTTAGAATATACCCAAAACTCCTACACACACACCTTGTGTGTGTGTGTGCATTCACAGCACACTAAAACAAAAATATGAATAAATTTTTATTGCTGTGCACAAGTGTAATTATTGTGTGAAAGGGAAATTCAAAGGAAGAATCAAAATATTTGTCTTTATAACAGCACATATCCACATTAACTAAACAAAATCTATTTTTTAAATCTCCCAAACTGTAATCCTTTGTCCTGTGAAAAAACTTCTGTTATTCTTCCTATTTTCTTTTTGGCTGTTGTCAWATAACAATGTAGCATTATGGTCACCTACTGGTATCTATGTGGACTAGATCAGTGCTAAAAAAGGAAAAAAAAGATAAAACAAAATCTCTTTCTTTTCAACTATCATTTATGTTTCAAGTATGAAATTAGTCTGAGTACTTTAAAAATTAGAATTCCCTGGTAGAATTTCTATATTCAAATTCTGCTTTAGCATAACMTCTGTTTTGGCATAAACCTTATGGGCCACCGTACACGGATACCCAGTTGTATTGTAAATAGTTAAAAGCAGACATTGCAAACATCGTAAGACTAAACTTTTTTTTTTCTTTTACAATAAATCAGATTAAACCTTTCGTGTTTGTGGGAGATGCAGGAAAAAATGTGACGATGGTTTAAACAAAGAAATATGATTCCAGCAATTAATGAAACAAATTTTATTAAACACAGCTCTTTCTGTAGTCTACTGTCCATCCTAACAGTCTATCCTGTAACAACGCACTCTGGTGACAATGAGTAACTAACATTAACTGAACATAACTTATCTATTCACTGCATACCTAAAAACACAACGTTTTAGGTCAGTTAGGATTAAGAAAATTATTTGTATAATTTAAAAGTTAAAAAAAAATGTTAGACTTATTTCAAACTCACAAGTTTCCATTCATGTTTCTTATATTTGGTACCATCGTCTTTAAACTGCAATGAGTTGGGTCAAAGTTTTGGCAATCTTTCAAGTTTCTCAAAGTACTTTGCTGGAATTTTGTCCTGTTCTCCCAGACAAAACTAGTGGAACTGTAGGCTGTTCTGCTCAAACACCTTTTCAGCTCTGGCCATAAACTTACACCCAAGAATAAACCAGCTGTGGAGGTCAACTTTCTGYTATCTTAGCTGATTTATTTTGCTTGATTCCGAGGTATCACACAAAGAYACTATGTTTGAGGTGACCCTTGTGTCCACAGGTGTGTCAGTAATTACTCTTATATAGTCAAACCATCTATCAAAGTTTTCAAAGCCACATCATCATGAGAGTCATTTCAAATGACAGCTTGTTTTGTGTGGATTAACCTGTGTTTTTTTAAATTGTGCTTTAGGTTAAAGCTTCGTCCACACAGCTCACAACTAAATGATTTCTGTCCTGTGTGGATATTCATGTGTCTGTTGGCCTGTCCCTTGGAGATGAACCTTTTACCACAGTGCTCACAACAATAAGGCTTCTCTCCTGTGTGGATTCTTACGTGTGTGTTCAAGTCTCCCTTTTGGGTAAACTTGCGATCACACAGCTCACAACTAAAGGGTTTCTGTCCGGTGTGGATTCTCGTGTGTTTATCCAAACTACCCTTTGTTGTAAACCTTTGATCACACAGCTCACAACAAAATAATTTCTGTCCTGTGTGGATTCTCATGTGTGCGCTCAAATTGCCCTTTGCGGTAAACCTTTGATGACACAGACCACAACAAAATGGCTTCTGTCCACTGTGGATTCTRATGTGTGCGTTTAAATCTGCCTTTTGTATAAACTTTCGCTCACACAACTCACAACTAAATGGTTTCTGTCCTGTGTGSGTGCTCATGTGTTTTTTTAAYCTGCTCTTGGTAGTAAATCTTCGATCACACAGCTCACAACAAAATGGCTTCTCTCCTTTGTGTAATCTCAGGTGTGTGTTTAAACTGTTCTTGGTGGTAAGTTTTTGACCACACAGCTCACAAGAAAATGGCTTCTGTCCTGTGTGGATTCTCATGTGTGCGTTTAAACTTCCCTTAAAGGTAAAACGTTGCCCACACAGCTCACAACAAAATGGCTTCTGTCCTGTGTGGATTCTCATGTGTGCGTTTAAAGTTCCCTTAAAGGTAAAACATTGCCCACACATCTCACAACAATATGGTTTCTGTCCTGTGTGGATTCTCATGTGTGCGTTTAAACTGTCTTTTCGTGAAAAACTTCGATCACACAGATCACAATAAAACCGCTTCTGTACATTTTTGTTGCTTTTCACACCTGATTTAGGAGTCCTGCTGGGAGGASACTCCCAGTCTTTATCAGTGWTTTTAGTTTTTGAACCAGAATCTGCTGCATGTTTCAGATGAAAGTCAGGATTGRTCACATCATTATCCTCTTCATAATCCTCACTGACTTCAGTTTCCGATGAGTCAGAATCATCTTCATGAGTACTCAGATCTGGGTTTCTGGTAGTTTCTGCTCCTCCACAGGACTCTCCACCAGTTGCTGATTCCAGGTTGTCAGCTAAGCTGCTGGTTGGAAGATCTCTGACATCAAATTGTTGATGAAGCTGTAAGAACTCAGGTTTATCTTCCTCACCCTTCAAAGGAAAATAAGTGAATGAAAAGATGGTGTCATCAGTCTCCTCTTTCACATTGAGCTGCTCCTCTCCCAGACTGGTCCAAAGTTCTTCATCTTCCTCTTTTATGTGGAGATGTTCTCGGTTCTGGTGGTCCACGTAAGACCCCTGTTCTTCAGGATCTTCTTCTTTAATCGGCACCAACTTCTGAACACCTTCAGGGACCACTGAAAGAAATGAAAAAACATTAAGGAGAACTGTGTGTGTATGTATGTGTGGATATTAGAGGTGTAGCAATACATCAATTTATAGTACATTGATACATTGATTTAAGGGCACCTATTATGCAAAACTCACTTTTTTCATGTTTTTAAACTTACTTTTGGGTCTCTACTGCTTAGAGAAGCAATCCAAACACCAAAAAATGCACCCAGCCATTTTTAGCTGTAATTACATGTATTTTTAGGTATCTGGAAACATGGTATTTCTCAAAGCAGGTTATTCTGACGTCACAATAACAGTCACCTAGCAACCTAAACCAGAGTCCTGCTCCTCACAAGGCAACCCGAGYTGAAGCTCCGCCCACTTCCTCAAGGGACGATAGTTGTTCTGTTTTTACAGCAGCCATGGAGAACAGAGATACCTGGATTTATTTTATTTTTTTATCTCTGATGAATATGTTCTAACAATATTGCCAAAGAAAGCTGTAGTTTGTGAAAATAATTTCACTTTGGATGCTTCTACCATGCCCTAACCCTAACCCTGATATTTCATTTCCCGATACTGTATCGATTTTTAATTAAGGTTTAAAATGTCGAATTTCCCGCCAACGGTTCATTTTTATGTTGTAGATCAGCCTCTGACCGCTAGTTGGCAGCAGTGAGCCAGCCATTTGGCTCCTCCACTCCTAAGAAGCCAGAGAGTAAGGGTAGCATTAGCATTGTGTGTAAACATTAACATCATGCACCGATAGCTGAATCAGAATGGAAAAGACCGACACCCTCTGCCTTCTAAGCTGAGGTAAGGTTACCAAAGTCCCTTATTTGTCAGAATGTCTGTATTTTAAGCCAAATTGAAGTGTCTTGTGCGCTCTTTTCCCAACTGTAGTCACGTCACGTTACGGAAGGCACTGCCAGGCAGGCATACATGTGCATGCGTCTAGGGCCTCGAGCTCGGCGCTTCACCCTTAATGGTACATTTACACCAAAAGRGTTATGCGCATCAGGTTTACATGCAAAGTCAATGGTGGACGCGCATCTAGGGGCGTCTAGAAGCCGAGCAGCATGTCTGGCGCATTTGGAGCAGTGCGGTTCGAAGCGGTGCACACGCCATGAGCATTTTCCATGCGTGCGGCATGTCCCAAGCGTCCGACGCACGAGTTGGAAAATCTGAACTTTTGCTGCTCGAAGCATCGCATCAACCAATCAGAAAGACTCTGCTCASTGATGCACTGGTGACGAGCCGGAGATACCGGAAGCCTGGGAAATTGGATCACACAAACAATGGAGGGAAAAAATGACATTCCGATCATTTATGATCATTCCAGTGTCCGTTATCGTGATAGAAATAAAAATGACTTTACCTGGAGGACGATTAGTGAGGAAGTCGGCATGCCTGGTAYTTTATTAAAACTACAGTTAAAAAGGCTCCTCCCCTCGAGCGTCTAAAGAAGTGCATCTACGTTCACATCAATTGCGTCTGTCCTCACTGGACAACAGCATCAAGATGCATGCGTTTTGAGATTTTTGGAGGCGCGCAACGCGTTTGATGTAAACGTAACTTCAGATGTCCCGTGACAAAAAACGTTGTACGCTGTTCTCCATGTCCGGCTGATCACGTCCAAGTCCTTATACTTTAGTTTACCCTGCTGTGTTCACTTCAAAAAAAGGTTTTGTTTTAAGAGATTTAGCTGTGTTGTTTAGCTTCTCCATTTCTTTACTGGTTTTCTRCGGGACTTTATGAACTTTATGACTTTAAGAAACTCTGTGTGCAGCAGCTTCATATCATCCATTTACTGAACTTTATGACAACATAAAGGCTATTGTTAAGTGTGATGGGTGACCATATTATTATAGTAAATTAAAGGGGCAATATCGTGTAAAATCAACTTTTTTGAGTCTTATATCATGTTATAATGTTATACTCTCATAAAAACATGGCCAAAGCCTTACTTTGACTCATTCATGCATGTTTGAAAAATCCTGCAGCGTTTTTATGAAGCCATGCTGAGGAGCAAAACGACAGGTGGGGACCAGAAATGACTTTTGGGACCAGAAACGCCTCTGGGACGTATCTTTAAGCCGAGCATCCTCATGGCAGAGCCTCCCCCCCTCCCACACACACACACACACACACACACACACACACACA